CAAACAGTGATTTATCATAAAAGATTTAAACAAAACAGTCGACCGAATGCAGTAAGGGTCTTTATCGAATAACATATTTGATTGTTTTCTTGTGATTATTTTAGTGTTCATTATGTGTTTTAGTAAATATTCAGTGCAGTGGAATTTATTTTAACTGTCAGTTTTTATTAATTTTAAATCATATAAATATCTGCATTTCTGGATTGGGAAAAACAAATTGTAACTGTTTTGATCAAGGTTTACTGTTTCTACGCTCTAATAATAATGACGGGAACTCAGTTGATTCCTTTTTGCACAACTACACAATTTTGCCGTGCCATTAAATATACACATATACACACAAATGCATATACGTGCATGAATGTTTTATTTCTCCATTGAATCTTGTCTTCTATCTTGGCTCGTGATAGGAAATCAGTTAAATTAAATTATAAGTGAAAACATTTTTTCCTCTGTCTTCCTCTCTGCTTATATCCCCCTCCCCATCTTCCTCTTTTCTTGCAGTAATTTATGTTTTATTTTCAATTTGTTCTACGCAAGTTTTTCTTCTCTTGACTAGTACATTTGCTTTGAGGAAAATTTTGCCTAAGTTCTTTTGTACCGAACACTTTAGGCTAAAAATGAGCAAGCTGTAATAGGCGGGAAAAGCCCTCTTTACTATGCACGAAAGATGATGTTTCATGTGAAAATATACAATTAGAATTTCCAAAATGAATAGTTGCCTTCCCCATTACGACTGTCAAGGTAATATATTTTATCTAGAAAATGGTTGTAGGTTAATATATTATTATCACAAACTATATTTTTTTGTTAATCTGAATAAAAACCATTTCTAGAGAAGTCAGAAATAAAAAGATGTTACTGTGAAAGGAAGATTGCCCATTGTGTTATTACTATGATGTATGGATACATAATTCACTCATTCAACATCCTGAATTTCAGTGAGTCTAACATAACTTCAAATGTAACCTCAATATAAGTACAAGATGTGGGCACTGATGTAGCCTTGTAACAACAGAAGACAAGTGCCAGGCTACAGATCGTTTTATTATGGAAATCAACACGTATTTATATAAATTTCACATACATTATTATAGCTTAGTCAAGTAGACAAACGCAGTCTCCTGACTGGTTGTTTTCGAGTTCCTCGGAAAGTGGAGCCATCTGTCTGCGAATCATATTCGCCCACGTTTAAGTTTGCTGTGTTTGGTTGTTGAAACAGCCTTGTTCATATTTTCTCACGGCCCATATTAGTGGCCTAGACATTGACGTAGATTAATGTCAACCAATTGGCTAGTAGGCTGCTCTCACCACAGCCTCATCTAGGTTTGTTTGGGTATCATCATTGACTGTAGAAATGTCGTCCACCGGCTAAGCATTCAACTTGGCCGATTCGTCTTGGGTTCAAATGCTGCCCCTGGACAAATAGGTAGCATCACCAGCCCCTCACACTATAAGTCTAGCTCAGCCTGGTTAATAAGAAATCTATTCTTGTCATCTGATCTGTAACAATATTAGTATCTTTCGAACAAAAATGTCTTAATCCTTAGTACAAGAATATAAATATAGATTTCACTTATCTGTCTGTATAAGTATATAATGTCTTTTCTTTTACTTAAATACCGAGGAGCTATCTTTGTCAGACAGCTTCGTACGTTGCAGTCAATTACATTTAGTTTTGAGATAATATAAACATACTTTGTATTGTTGTAGTTAAGACTCTGTGTATAACTGAGATCTTTGTAAGGTAATTCGTCTGAGATCTGAAATTTATGTGGATTAAAATCGGCATCGTTGTATTACCAAATTATGAAGAATACCATTAGGTTTGTTTTGAGAGTTAAATGGCTGGTAACCAGTAGAAATGAATAATCGGTGTTCAAACAATAACATTCTGCTGATGTGAGTAACAAATGATCTCAGATAGGTGGTTGGCAGCCTTGAGCATAGACCCTGTACTGTTACGTTGTCCTTGAAGCTAATACGTCCATCTCATTTTTGCATTTCAGGTAGAAGTAGTTAAATTCATATGACCACTAGCTGTAAAATGACCCACGCTGAAATAAGAGAGAACAAAATAAGTGAAAAATATGATAATACAGTCAAGACGTACATAAAAGTTGCATGCATCTACATCATCGGGATAACTTCTCAGAAAAATGACCTACTCTAACAATGCAGTCTACAGTTTTAAACACATCTCACACTTCATGAATTGTTGTTAAGCATCCATTGGACGAATATTTACTGTCTTCAAAACTGTTTCTTCAGCTGGCAAAACAATGTGCTGAAGTTGTCAATAAGCAGATTTTTGTAACACATTTTCAGTTAGCTTCAGTTTGTGGAGGCGTGCGAAAACCTTTTGAGTTTTTCCCATCGATTTGCTACGTGTACCTTCAGACGAATATTTTTTAACTTGACTGTTGCCTTAAAAATTAGATTTTCCTAACCCAAATTACTAGTAAAAAAAATACAGACGAAAGTAGGGTCTCGTCCAAAAGTATATTAGTTCCAGATGCAACATTTAGAATTATCACATGAATAAAAACTGAGCAGTCAAAAAAATACAACATTTAATTAGCATCAATGTGAGATTTATTTCCTTTAGTTCCTAGAAAAACATAGGGCTTCAACCTCACGTCTTCGTTGCGTTTGGTTCTCCGCCAACGTTTTCACCTGGCTCCATGTCTGTCTTAATGTTTTCATCTCCTGTTCTGATGACCTCCTCTATATCACCCTCGCACTGATGAAAAACTCGCCGCCTCTTTTTCGGGTTCCACTCGACGGCTTGTCTAGTGATGTCATTTGATGGTTTTCTCAGAGTATGGCCAATCCACCTCCATTTCTTCCTGCATATTTCTTGCACAATCGGTTCCTGGTTGATTCGCTCCCAGAGATCCCTGTTGCTTATCTTTTCCTGGCCATCTGATCTTCAGTGGTATTGAGCGAAGGCAGATGTTGACGAAGGTGTGTAGCTTGTTCGAAGTGGCCTTTAGGAGGCAGCGTGGCGCCAAGTCTTTGATCCGTATAGTATTATATAGTAGTATTGGAGTTGAAAATCCGGATCTTATTTTTCATACTGAGTGCTGCTGTCCTATCTCTGCACAGACTTGAGAGTAATGAAAGCTTGCCTAGCTTTCCTGATTCTCACTTTCATATCGCCGTCAGTTCCCCCTGTAGTTGAAATTATGTGAGAAGGGAATGAACAATCAGATGAAGACGACAGTTAAAAAGTTGGAGATTTTAAAGATTTTCAAAAGAAAATGCACTCATACCACTATAGAAGCTTTTCAATCATGACATCATAAGTCCCTACCCAAGTACTGATTCTTATTAGCCTGAAAAATAATAACCAGAATTTCTTTGTCAGTGGTAAAATTACTTCACCAACTTTCCCGTTTATACTGCCTGCACTTTACTGGCCGTCCTCAAAATATATGTTATTCCTTTTTAGCTTTAGACTTCACAAGTATAAAGTGTGCTCTGAACGTGTTATATAAATAATTTCAATCAGTAAGCATTTCTCCAACCTACCAGTATAAGTCAGATTTCTTCTGTGTGACTATACATTTAGTGCTGTTCAATGTTATAATGAGATTTTGAATGAACGTTTTTTTATAAACTCGTCTCATAAATTTGTCATTCATCTAGAATAGTAGGTAATAACAAATCTTCAAAATAACTTTTGTTTTGTTTTGCCTAAAAATCTTTGAAACAGAACATAAGACTGAGTTTGTTAAGATATGTTTTTCTGATTTTTAAATAATCAAATTACTGAAAAGAAATCCAGACTTGTTACTATTGTACGCACTCAACTGCATTTTTGAACGTATCAAATCCTTCCTTAGTTTGACTAGTACTTTCATACATTATTATTATGCAGTGGAATTACAAAACCGATCAGCAAGTACTGTACTTCCTGTATTATCTTTTCATATCAGTATGCAATAAGTTAAATTGACAGTAACAATTCAATTAGTATAGCGTTTTAATGAAGTGATTTGTTTTCAGTGAATTATATCATGTGGTTGATGAAAAAATGGCATGGAAGTTACAACGTGCAGTTCTTGGTATTCCACGAATCCTCAACCATTAATTTCTCCACTGAATTAACAGACAAACTGAAACCTACAACACTATATTCTTCTCTTTCAGATTTACTTAAAACAGCTTTTGCCTATTTATTCATTTAATGTAAAATTCGGATACGCAAGTTTGACAGTGTTTGACAAAATACTTATATAAGAAACAGAATCTGAAGATATTGAGAAATTAATGATATATATATATATATATATATATATATATATATATATATATAGCTGGGACACAAATTCAGCCGATACAGTAATTGATTTCTATACACAATTTGTACATATTGCATTCCCTTATGTAATGTACACAAGTATAAGTGTTAGTAGACCGTAACTTATACAGACAACTATTTTTAGCCAAAATTATGTGTATTTAGTATTTACCCCATTCTGAATATGTAAGATAATTACATCACCCTGAATATTATTTCATCTGCTTTGTTATTATCTTCTAGATGAAGATCCCTTTGTTAACTGTTCACTGTATTCATCTGTGTTGCAGTAACGGACAGAGTAAAAGCTGAGATTATATATTTTCATTTTTATCTTCACGTTTTATTACTGCGTGGGTGTAAAGAACTGAAGAAAACGTTTCAAAGTGACTTCGTTTTACTAAATTGTATCTTGAAAAAGTTAAAGTACTCAAATATATTTCAAACAAACCATTTCTACTCCATTAACCGAAAAAAAATAAACGGCATTAAAAGAAAATGATTTCAGTTAGTTTTATTTTAAGACCCACGAATTATTCAATGCCTTCTAATATCTAATATTTATTTAGTCATCAAAATATTTTTACAAGTGACGGGTTTTTTTTAATTTTTTTACTTCTTTCAAACAGAATTTTCTAATCCATCTTTCTGTTATTTTTATATTGTCGCCAAAAATTCACTTTATTCAATAAAGCTACATATTGCGGCTGCAAATGGATATGAAGAAGTTACATTATTTCTTTTGAAACGAGGTGCGAAAATTGATTTAATGGATAGAGATGGGTGGCAAGCAATACACATTGCAGCTTGTTGGTGTCAGGTAAGCTATTTATTTATATTGGATTTAAATTTTGTTCTATGCTGTATATGTGAAATCAGTTTATGCAAAAGATAGGTTTCATACATACTGTTGACTAATATCTCGATTCCCACAGGGAACTATAGTGGAATAATCACCTCGAACTATGTTTAATTGCAAAATGATTTGCGAATTGAATTTATTCATTTCAGGGTTTTCACAAATAGTAACAAGTGTTAGTATAAACTTCCTAATGAATTAACACTAACCAGAGGACCCTTAAGAAACAACAATCATCGAAGCGCTGTTTGATCCCAGTTTTAGAACCATTTTTATACATTGAAAACACATCTACACTAGTGCAACAGTAGAATATAACTGTATTTCATATAAGTTTAATTAATATAACACACAGTAACAGTTATTAAAACTGTATTACTGTGTTGTATCAAATGAACATATTTAAAGTATGGTGCTTATAAACGAGGAGTATGTAGCTATCCCATGATAACCCGTTTTAACTGATTCATTGGATGATGACCGCTCACGAAAATTGACCAAATCCTTACAAATATAGCTGTGAATTGTAAACACCTACTTTTAAACATGGCCAACACAGGAGGACTAATATTATTAATGAATATAATCGTTAATAGCAGAAGTAGGTAATCTCTTGTTTTGTTCTGTTCCATGACTCCCGAATTATTCTTAATTTACAGTTCACACAATATTTCACCTAAAATGGGAACCAATATAGTTTCGAAAACTAAGCAGAAAAGCAAATAGCTTTTTACTAGCACTATTCAAGTCAGAAATGATAACCTTCGTTTATGTACACTAATTTATCAGGATGAGGATGAAATTCATCGCATAGTGCTGTTGAGCATAGCAGGGTGATTTCTACGACAGATAATCCATTTTTCTTAAAAGGTTAACAAGGCACCTTTAAAACAGTCAGATAGCATTGCTTGAAGCACACAAAACAAAATCACATAAGACCAACCATCTTTGAAGATTCAAATTTTAATTGATCCGCTCGGTTCTGTATATTCAAGTAGGAGGTAGATCGGTTTTGGTTGATAACTTTTATACCTATCCATCTTATCAAAAAATGTGCCAAATAGTTTTTTGGACTCACAGAATACAAAATTTCAGCATTGATTATGGTGAAGTAACTGTAACTGGCATAGTGGGAGATTACTAAACGTGAAATTAAAATCTGAGTCCTGATAAGATTCGAACCAGCAGTTTCAGAATGGTGCTCAACTGATCACTGAAGGTTCTCAAAATATTCCTGCATATTATTCATCAAACAACATATAAACAATCTGGGCAGAATTAAATCTAAAAACTCCACCTCATTATTAGTCTGATAATTACTGTTGATTTGTTTTTACTACACATGAGTGGAAACAATTACTAAATACTACCATGCTAATTTGGTTTTTATTTAATTATTCTTGTTGGCAGGCCACTTTTTATAGCTCTAATAAATGCTTCGTTTACTATTTCTTCTTCGAACACCACTGACAATCTTGACAATCTCAAGTAAATTTCGTTGTCTAAGTCTCTGTACCTTCTCATTAGCCAATTAGATTTTTGAACCTATTGTACTCACTATCACTTCTGATGTTCTTTCATCGTGATGTGTTTGAAATGCTTGTTTTTTGAATTTTCAAGGTCATTATAAGTCATTTCAGATTTCATTAAATATTAATAGGTTCTTATACCTAACTTTTCTGATTTACAATAACGATAGTTAACTGTCACATCACTTTCTGTCCAACAATCTGTTTCATCTCCATCAAGTCAGATTTTGACGTATTCGTTTCTTCAGGATTGTGAAACGTATTCTCAATTATTAATACTATTATAACTGAATTATTCAAGTACTCACTCCAAGATTTCTGTCTTGCAATGATTCATTCCTAAGTTGTCACGAATAGGAGTAACTCATGATGTGGACAATCCGGTAGAAGCCTTTTCTGGATTTTATCCTTCAGAACAGTATACTATGGTATTCTAGTCATAGTTTCTAGAGTGACTTTTATTAAATTTTGCGCACAAACATTTCCTAACTCTGGTTATTGACTTGGTATTATCATCCTTCTTCTTGTCGACTGACATTTTACAATTTGAATTCCTAATATTGAACAACTATGCTACATATTTTTAATTTAGATTTATTGTCATAGTCTCTCTATTCACAGTTGAACAGCTCTTCCAGTTTCATTGAACCGACATGGTTTGGTTTGTTGTGTTTATCATAGCCCACATAAGGGTAAGTTGAACATCTAGGGTCTACTGCTTCAAAAGAGCCTTATCAGAGCCTTCCTATTCCAGATTGATTTATTTGATGTTTGCTATGTAAACAACAATGGCCACTACTAAATGTATTACTAAGAATCCAAGCTCAAAAAGCCAAATTGCTTCATACTTTAAATGTGGAGTACACCAGAAAAACTATGAATAAATCCGAAGTAATCAATTAATGATACAACTTTACCACATTCCATCTTGACTACTTCAGTGATATTAGACAATCAAAGCTTGATTATAATGATCAAAATGATGACCACTTTAACCTCCTTTGATATAGGTGAAAACAGTCACACATTCAAGTTTATGCAGTCGATTTTACTATGATCAGAATTTTCTAAGCTTCTCATTTGCTATGAGATACAGCATGGGCACTGGATTCGCGACCACTCGTTGGTATCCATCAGTTTAATTTTTTGCTTAAAATTAAACTATTCTTTGATATTTTGACAATCAAGGGCCATCCCACATCTAGGCTTTTGTTTCAGACTCAACCAATGATTTTTTTACTATTTACATAAAAAAACATCGTTTCAATTGTCGCATATCGCTACTTTTTTTACAAGAATACCGCTCTTAAATTACCGTTTAATTTCCAAGTTCTAAATACCTTCGACATTTAATCATACGAAATTTTCAAATCGCTCAGCATGTATAGACGTACAAGTATGCTTTTCCAGGTTTTCCAATGGTTCTCTAACTAATGTCAGCTCATGATGAAATCCCGAACAGTTTTTTCTTATTTTGAGATTTTACTTCTGGCCCACAACAAGCTCACACATAGGACCCCACCCTTGATAGCTATCGATTAACGACGTATTTCGAATATCACACAACATCAGACATATTCACCCACTGATGGCTTGATAGATCATTCATAACTCATAAAAGCCTTCGTGAAGTCAGTTATTCTTCAGACTTTGGTACCCATTGATGAAACGTAGCCAACCAGAACATAGCGAATTTCAATGCTCCTTTACTTTCATTGCTTTTTTAGTTTTCATAAGTTGTTGATTAAAACTACTATCATTATAAACATACAAGTGAAGAATTTAAAATCATAGCGACGTATATTCCTTGGTTCTCACTCCATATACATTAGGCACACCCCTCATAATTGTTCGGGATACTAATCTTAAAATTTGAGGAAGGCCCTTAATAAGCAGTACTTTGTAAGTCAAGTGAGTAAGATTTAGAAGCCAACTTCACCAATGAACAGAAGTGTTTTAAAAATAATCAACTGAGTAATTTTGGCCTTTTATTAAAGTGATCATGGGTGAATATTATGTGTGTTGTATTGATTTTTAGCTAGAGGTAGTTGAACTGCTTGTAAATTTTGGTGCAGATATCATGGCTGAAACAAAAAGTGGCGAAACAGTATTTGATATATGCGAAGACCCAGAAATGAAATCCAGACTTCTTGATATAAAACAAGAGATGGAGAGAAAAAAATGCCAACAACAAGACTTACTTAATCGACCTGGAAAACCTCGTGAACTGGCTCGCAGACGTAGTAGTACAAATCCCAGAAGGTAAGTTCGTTAGACAGTTAATGAAGTACTTGTTATTAGTCTTATTTACACATTTCTATTAACAGGACAATTCCTCTGAGTCTTTTTGTTAAGAAGGTAAAAAGTATGCATGAAATCATAGATAATGAATTACACTGAAAGGACACACTGTCACAGTTTGGAGGAATTACTACATTTTCTGTTATATGTCAGTTATTGATTATGAGCAATAAATTGTGCTCGAAACTTCGTCAGTAAATATTACTGTGTAACACTGTGAGACTTTACCAAAATAAATTTTACCCATAATGGGAGTTATTACAATTTAAAATAAATTCATCTGGGCTTCTTTAATGTGTTTCACTGAGTTCACATTAGTGATACATAATGGTTTGTTTGACTTCCACTGATGTTCGTCAGTATACTAGTTTATAACACTTCAAAACTTGAGCCTAAACTAGCGGATTTCACTCTAAAAGGCAAGCTTTGTTTTCTTACTACTTTAATCTAAAAACAAAGAATGGAAAGTCTATGAATATTAAAGTTCACATATATGAACCCCTTAACGAAATCAGTTAATGTAGAAACCTACGTTTTCATGCCTTTTTTTCCCAGTCAGTCGAACATTTTCATGTATTTCTGAAAAACCTAGACAGGATCACTGAGAAATACAACAATGACGACAAAATTTCAAATTTTTTGTCACAGTTGTAAATGTTTCTTTTTATATTTCGCATTAGTTTCTTTATCCGATGGAACTGAATGATTACATTTCTAATTAATTAATGAAGATACTTTTTTTCATCTCTGCTCTTACTTTATCTTCATCATGCTGATTGTTTGTAACTAGATTGCAAACTTTCCAAAATTCGTTTGCAGTTGTTTCCTATGTATTAGATATGAGTATGCGGCAAACAGTAATTCCTAACAAAATCTAACGAAAAAGTAATAAAATCTCACTTTTAAAAGAAAAATAAAACAAATAAGGATGAGTTCAACTCATTAGATACAGCAGAAACTGTAATATAACTATTCAATGAGGTATTATCATAACAACTGGGTATCGGAATGCACTCATGTGCATCAGGATTCGAGCCCGTGGTTCGCCGTTATAAACTGATTGATCGGATCAGTAAGCCATTTCTCCACACACACTCTGAGTCTTTAGAGTCATTCAGGATTTTTTGTAGAAGAAGAAAATATTCACCAAAATACAAGTAGAATAATTCACAGTGTCAGTAGGACTGTAATAACAGTGCTGGTGTAACCTTGACGCAGACTACTTCATCAATTTTATAGATTGATTTATGAACCTAAATTTTATGTTCCATCTTTATCTACACGTATAGAAAAAATATATAGCGGGTTTTACTGGATTTTTTCAGGGTAAAATAATACTCTTTTACAATGTATAGTCGCAAAACGGAAATTATTTGCAGCATGCATTTCGAATACTGTGTTAAATTGAGTGATGAAGTTTTATAGTAACGTCATAGTTAAGTGGAACTTTCCCATAGCTCTAAATAGGATATTTAACTTTTTTTCAGGAAGTGTTTATAATGTGGTTCAAGTTTTCATAAAATTGAAATTCGAATTCGTTTAACATGCATGCAATTTGCTTAGCATCATCTTTTTTATCACGTATTCGCATAAAATCAATTGCTGCAAAACTTTCCAAAATCAGATTTTAAGTGTAGCTAGTAATGGGTTATGAAACACTTGGTGTTCAGTGGGGAACGAACTGTAAACTTAAGTGTCTTGCCTAATGACGATTGTGAGTAAAATTTACGGGGAACCTTAAGGATACACGTGATTCTTTCTGTGATTCCAAATGACCTAACTAATAGCCAAAATTAGTAAATTTGCGAGTAGGTTTTTGAAGTAAACAGCAGTGTTGTTTCACTTGGTTTAAGCCTTACATTTTACCCTTGACTGATATGTTTCGATCAATACACTGGTGACTAGACAGTTAAACAAGTTACAGTCGAGTAATCTTTCCAAAAACATTTATTGAAAAGAGTTTGTGAGAACAAAGTTTACAAATTACATGTCAGATACTCGAATAAAAAGAGGTTATCATTAAGAACTGGTAATAAGTGAACTTACATCGGAAATTAAACGCCATTCGGTTTTTAAAACACAACAGTATCTGGGGGCGAACTATGAAATGCTGAATAATGAAAATGAACAAAATTCTAGAGATGAAAAATGTGAATATACTTTTCTCAGTTGTGAGTAATTTTCAGCTACACGATAAAGAATCGTTATCTTTGTCACTCCAGTTTCATTTAAAAATCCTAAGTATTTATATAACAGCATAAGATCTGCTTGATTTCGTAAAAAGTACTTTAGGAAGCAAGAGAAATGGACCAGTGGTATATGCTACTGAACTATATCATTAGCTGAAAATCATCTACGTCAAACAACAAGGCTTGCTAGTCCAGTAGAAATGGAGTAATCACTGGATGGCCGTTTCTTTCGTTTCCGATGGAGATCACTAGAGGTACACCTGGTCACACTCAGCTGCGAAAGCAGAACCACTTAATTTAAATGATCAGTCTGTAGAAATTTGATGTAATAATCAATAAACAGTTCATAAATTTATCATCTAACGCTATCTAAGTTATTAAGACGAGAAGAAACACTCCGTACTTATCAACTAAAAGATTTAACCAAGTCGACACCCGTCTATTTTTCTCTATGCTTCTTATCGCGTTTGCTACAATTCTCTACTGGGAAACATTTTTAAATTGGTTGCCTTTAGACAGAGCTGGAGACTATATCTACAAAGATTGCAGTCCTTTCATTATCCTCACTATCCTTGATGAGTTGGTTTGTTCTCAATCAGTATTATGAAAGGTGATTACTGATGAGCTGTATGATGACAGCATTCTTTCCTTCTAGCTGTTATTTCGACAGAAATCCTGTTTGACCACTGGCATTTGTGCTCACTCTACTTTGTTCTGTTTTTCCGTGAATTAGCGATTTCACCATCGTTTTATCCATCGTCCTTCGTATCCTGATTGAGCTACAATCCACTTGTCCTGTATGTGTTGATGTTTCTTTTTTAATTTTTATTCCACCTGTATACAGTTTCCTTCTATTCTTTAGAGCTGATCAATACATAATTTCTTGGTTTTTGAATTTTATGACTTCAGTTTCTTTACTTGGCTTATTGAGTGACCAGTTGTAGGCTTCATTTGCCGTGTTTTACTGTTAACATCCATTGTGGATGTTAGTTGGTTGGATGCAATCGGCAGAAAGCCTTGGACCTAGGTTTCGCCCTAGTCGGAACTCATCGGCATGGTGTATTTGCAGTCTAATATCAACAATTCAAAGTGCTCTATAACAGCAAACTACATAGAGTAGTGGCCACATTGCAAACCCAACTAATAGAATTCAATCTGTGCCAAATAAAGGATTAAAAACATCACACTACTTACTAATTTTCAATCAAAGCATCCATTGTTTCCAACTCGAGTTTGTTGTGTTTTAGTATGACACGCTATTTGAGTTGAGAAACCGTCTTTTAAGCTTGCTCTTACGGCATTATATTAGTATTCAAATCCACATGACTGTTGAATGCTGACTGCACTTCTCCAGAAATCTACTATGTCAGGTAACTTTGTCTAATCTTTGGAGATCACTTCATTATTTAAAATGTTTCGGTTTAGCTATCATTGAATGAAAATTCGATGCACCAATCATTGGATTTTTTCAGTGCTTCTATACGGCGAACAAGTATGAGAGAAAAGAAAATGATTTCCTGGAAAGAAGCTAAACAAGAAGCTGAAATGCGTGGTGTGGCCACAGCAACCAACGATAAGGATGCTCCGAAACCATTCAGTCCAATACCTAACGGTTCTATGGATCATGTTTTTGAGAAACCATCACCCTCTTCAGAATCTCATGGGGCAACAAGTTCAAAAAACGCATATGGTTCTATACGTTCTTCACATCCCAGTCATTCGTCAAAACCTCCAAATTCGCCTGTTTCATCTCCTGTCTTAACACAACATGGTACAGCTCGACCAGGCAAACTGCAACAAAGTGAGACAATCATCACTATCAATGGTTCACCTCAGTCACCTAATCTTCGCACGTCATCTAGGATAAAAGAAAGAGAGGTAACTTTCTCTGTTTTTATGGCCGAATTTTTATCACGTTTGAATTTTTTATTTTCATCCACTGGAAAATCGAAATAGCAAGAAGACGTTTAGACTAGAATCTATGTGAATTAATCATACGATTATTTTTTCTCATGGATAATTTATTTCTTAGTATATTGTACTCAACCTAATCTGAATCAAAAGTGGTATTCTTGACATTTTAGGAAAGTAGGTAACCATTAGTTTTCACAAAGTTAACATGTCTCCCTGTGTTTTTCAAAACGGTTAGTTCAATAAATGGAATATGTTTGCCAATAATCGTTGTTCTTTTTATCTGTCAGTGGTTAGTACTGGAGTACAAGATGCCCTTACATTTCTGTTTCAGCCTTCAGCTAAATAGACTAACATAACGCTGCGTGGTGGTGTTAATACTGACTGCCACACCGAGAATTTGTTGTACAAGAGATTTGTTTTTCACCTCACGTACTTAGTGGATATCCCTTCCGTGTTTATAATAAAGATTGATAGGATTGAGTTTCTTTGTGAACACGAAATTCAGGTATATCTAGCCAACAGATTCCACTTTAGAAGAAACTCCATTCATTACTGTCTACTAATCAATAAATGACATCAAAATGCAGTCCGAGGCAACTTCCAAGTATTCATTAAAGCGACTCAAGCGCCGAACCAAACAAGAAATTGTGAACATAAACAAATGAGCACAGATTACTGGTTTTATTCAACCCATTTCTGAAGATACATGTGCATCATTTAAATCTAAGCTTATTTTGGGTTGACCTCATTTAATCACCTTGTAGAGGAATGTTTGATGAAAATTACAAGCCTATAAACTTATTACTCTTGGGAATTAACGATCTTGAAATTTGTTTTTTCCGAATAAAAGACAGTGAACACTTGTTCTTCACTCAGTGCATATGATGTCCGTGTAATCTTCTAAACATCAATTTTTTCTTGTACTACAAGAGAATTTCTAAGTTTATAAGACCTGCAAAAACTCGCAAGTTTCTTTCAAATGTTTGCGGTACTTTATCTCCAACTCGCTGCAATTTATACTGAACTGTTTTTACAGTTTGAAATCTTTTGTAAATTAAGTTTACTTTATTTCCTAGTGCAAATTAAGAGCCTGAAGATGACTCATTGTCTAGAAACATACGTAAGGAGCGAATCTGATGTGGAAAGGACTTCATCTAATATGAAGACTAGGCTATTGAAATTACATTGGGACGCAATTAGTTACAGTTATCATTAACAACACAATTATTTAACTTTGAACAATACAAGCATCTACAAATAAGCCTAGTAGTATGTAATAATGCGCATGAGCCTGCAATACTAACCAGTTGTTGAAGTTGAGAAAGTTGGAGCAAAGTTTATACTCAATACCCATGTACCATATTTTAGCTATTGCATAAACCATACATTTGATTTCTTTTATGGCCTGGACACTCTATTAGCATTAATTATGCACTGCTAATCTGTTATATTATACATATAAAGTAGTTATGTATTCTCTTATCATACTGGACGTTCATCATTGGTAGTAAGTGAAAATACATACAAGTATTCATAAACACACATCAAAGCGTAGATTTCCTTCGTTAAAATTTTCTCACCGAACTTTGATAAACAGAGGTGATAGAATAATACTGTTTTCTTGACCCAGTCATATGACCACTGCTTTCATAGTGTGTAAAACCGTAAATCCATGAAACTGATTAATTTGTGAAGTTCAACTTTGGATGACTCGTGAACTGATTAAAACTTAGTTATATCACAATCTTCTGACAACCAGTATTAACTATCATCTATTGAAGTTGAAAGTCATTCGTGTTTCCCAGCCCTTACTAGTCTATCACAGCAAATTTCACTTGGATTTACGACTACTTACAGTTGGAGGTTGACAATGAAACCCGATAATCCTAAATAAATACTTACTTTATACACTTGAGCACATATTCATAATGAAATTTACTATTTCCAACGTACCTGTCAGCTTTCCTACAAAAATAAGAATACATATACTAAGTATGTATCATGTTAATTAGGGAATTCTTTTGAAGAGTATAAAAACAATCTTTATTGTGAAGAAAAATCATGAAATTTATAAAACATCCAGTTACGCCGAAACTTCATTGGAAATATAAGAAAATTAGACAAACTGTATCATGCAAACAGAATGGGAAATATGCCTAAAATTCTCTTCCAACTGAGTAAATAGACTGAAAAGACATTTATCTTAATACTGAATAGATAGGAAATTTTCCTATTAGAAGATGAGATTATTTTCATTTTATTGTCTACTTTTAGGAAAAGAATGAAGTCAGAAAATAAGACTCTTTACATTTTTATGCGTTTTCTTTTATTTTCGTGAATAGGTATAACTTTAGAAATCATTTATGTCACCAGCCTCTATCATATTGAGTGGTGTGGAAGTTTTATCGGTCGATCATGTGATATTAAGCTTCTTTCTGCTAAGAAGACTGACAACGCTGACTGTGCCAACTGTGGCAAATGACCCAAAAGAAATTTGTGTGTAGATTTGGTATACTATTGAAATTACTTATGAAATACTCCGACCTTGTAAGGTAGTAACATTCAGATGTAGGGATGCAAGCTTACCTCTGAGGCTGGCTGTTGATTGCTTCAAGCGATGAAATGAAAAGAAGTGAAGTAGACAAACTGTTAAACTCCTCATTTCATTCATCCTGAGACTGCTTACGACTGAACGGACGTAGGAAACAGCTGGCGGTAAAACCATCACGTCCCCAGCTCGATCAGGAAACTAAATCCCTATTTGAGGAAGAACTAGCTAAACGCATATCTGAGTTCGACAGCTGTGCTCACCCTGGAGAAGCCTGGAAGAATATTCAGTCAGCTATAGATACAGCTGTAAAAGCTGTGAATAAGGCAAATCCAAAGGTGAGTAAAAACCACTGGATTTCGACTGCCTCATCCGAACTGATAGATGCTAGAAGACTTATTCCGGCGAGCTCCGAATTCAATGAGGAGCGAAAGCTGCACAAAAGGAAACTTACTAAAAGTCTCCGCAAGGACCGTGAACAGTGGTGGGTGACAAAGGCGAAAGAGATGGAAAAAGCATCGGCGATAGGCAACACTAGGCAACTCTTTAGACTCATCAGGGAAACGGGTGAGACTATTTCTGAGAAAAATGGCTCCTTAATTAGCTCTCAGGATAGACGCCTTGAACGCTGGAAAGAACACTTTGAGGACAATTTAACTTGCCTACAGCCACACTGAACCTCCCCGACATCCACCACGTACCCGAATGGGATATAGACACTGGTCCGCCGTCTGTAGGTGAGGTCACAAAAGCTATCAGTAATTTGAAACGAGGCAAAGCGGCAGGACCCGACGGAATTATTCCGGAGGTGTTTAAATATGGGGGTGACATACTAGTTTGTAGATTAACTGAGGTACTAGGCAAAGTCTGGGAATCAGAGACAGTGCCATCAGACTGGGGTAAGTCACTTATTATACCGATATTCAAGAAGGGAAACAAGTCCTCGTGTGATAATCATAGGGGGATCAGCCTAACGAACATAGTCTCTAAAATCCTAGGCTCAGTAATCATGCATAGACTAAGCAGAACTCGGGAGGAACAGACAAGGGAAAATCAAGCAGGCTTTAGACCAGGTAGAGGGTGCATAGATCATATCTTCACTCTTCGACAGATTCTAGAACATAGACACACTTTTCGGCGTCCAACAATTGTCATATTTCTTGACTTGAAGGCGGCCTTCGACTCCGTGGATCGAAAGGTACTATGGCAATGTCTGACTGTGAAGGGAGTGCCAAGAAAGTACATTGCACTAATCAAGGCACTCTATTCAAACTCACGTAGTCGTGTAAGGGCTTATGGGGAATTGTCATCTGAATTGGTAACAACCAGTGGTGTCCGACAGGGATGTCCACTTTCCCCATTTCTGTTTAACTTCATCATAGATATGCTAATGGAAGTATCCTTAACTGAACGTAGTGACTTAGGAATCGACTTGTTACCAGGGAATAGTCTTATGGACTTAGAATATGCAGATGACATAGTCCTGTTAGGGGAGGATGCTGACAAAATGCAGAGTCTTCTGAACACCTTGAGCAGCAATCTTCGTATGTTTGGCATGCGATTCGCCCCTACAAAATGTAAGATGCTGCTACAGGACTGGACCACGTCAACCCCTAACTTAGTGATAGGGAGTGAAGTGATAGAACATGTTGACCACTTCACCTATTTGGGAAGTTGTATTAGCACCAACGGACTGATTGGCGATGAAATCTCAGCACGGATCCGAAAAGCTCGAGCTGCTTTCGCTGACTTACACCATCTCTGGCGTAGGCGTGACATCCGGTTATCAACCAAGGGACGTGTGTACTGCTCATCAGTTCGCTCCGTCCTTCTCTATGGCTCTGAAACATGGCCAATACGCGTTGAAGACATGAAAAGGTTGACTGCTTTCGATCATAGATGTCTGCGATCTCTGTCTCACGTTAGGTGGTTTAATAAGGTAAGTAATGTTGACGTTAGGCGTAGAGTGTTGGGCAAAGAGGGAAAATCAATCGACGAGGCTATAAAGTTACATAGACTAAGATGGCTAGGTCACGTGCTGCGCATGCCTAACCACCGCCTCCCCCGACGGGCATTGCTAGCTGATATAGGTGCAGGTTGGAAAAGAGCCAGTGGTGGCCAAACAAAAACATGGCATCAATCCATGAAATCCTTGACAGTTAAACTGAGTCAGGTAGGGAGATGCAGACTCCCGGGTTGGGGCCCTCGGGACTCTAGGAATCAATGGCTGGAGACAATAGGTGACATGGCTCAAAATCGTTGTCAATGGCGCAGATGTATTCAGTCTCTGTAATCTTTCATATTCCTTTCTACCATTACCCATTCTGTTTCACTCTTATACTTGTCAAACTCTATTGATTCTCTTCACTCATCTTCTTGTCTACCTCTGTGTGCTATTTGGAACGTGGCAACTCGAACTGCTGCACTTCGGTGCCAAGTTCTATGTTGAATCCAGACAGACAGACAGATCCTGAGACTGCGCTTATACAGTTATTCACTGTCAAAGAGTACACAAACAACAACATAATACTTTGTCGTACTCCATGGTACTTAATATTTTCAGCGTTTATATGATACTAGGATCTAAAGCTTTCCAAATCCCCATATAGTCAACATGACCTTCAAAAATTTAGCAATCATTTTAATATTTCCCTCTGACTTCAGATATAGCAATGTTACGCTTTTCTTTGTTCTGTCTGAAAAGTATTTCTATTTATATCCATTACCCATTGAATTCTTCTCGAAATTTCTCACTCAAAGTTGCCCTAATTTCACTTCGATTTTACACAGTTACCTGTCATCCCATTTCCATCCGGCATAGTTATTCTATTTCTAACGAGTGCTATTTGTGGGCTGAAATGGTGATGATGTCTTCAAAGTAGACACGTCTTAATCTCGGAGACAATGTGAGTCTCATCAACATTACAGATAGACGTTGCTTATGAGTGTGAAAAACATGACTTCTTGAAACTACAGGATTTCTTGTCGATTCATGTCAAGCATCGAATTATTTACGGTTACATAAACAACCCACCTATTTCACTTTCACTTGGTATTTAATGTGTACCAAAATCTACTGATTAGTCATTAGCTTACTGTTTACATGTAGAATTTAAGTGGTCCCTGAGTATCTTAGTTCACACATAGCGATCATTGCACTGTATTAGTAACAAACAGCTGTTAAACACGAACAGATGAAGAGGATAAGAAAAATTTTATAATAAATGGAATATATTTTATTACGTAAATCACCTACAAGAGCACTTGTCTTGGGATTTCAAGTTGTTACAGTTAACTGTAAAAAAGTACAAACTAGACTTTGGAGTTAAGTAACATAAACCCCATTTTGTCCTTTTCATTGCTTTTTACCACTAATAAATATGGAGTATCTCCAACATTGAGAGGAGTCAAATTTTATCTGAAACTCTAAACTGTTAATAAATGCCGGCGACTTCGGAATCTAGACACAGAGCTTCTTTCTCATAAAATACCCATATTTAACGCAGGAAGCATAAGTGCATTGCAATATACAGAAATATCTTGTTATTTGATCTGATGACGGCACTGTATACTACCTGACTGGTCAGTTTTCATTAACACGATTGAAACTGAACAGTTGAATTGGTCAGTATTTGTTCTTGCAATACTCAGATGACTGTATAGTGGTGAAAGCTAACATATTTAGTATTTGAAATCCTATTTTTTAGGTTTAAGTTACAATTATTACTTAAAAATAACTCAGCAGATTATTAACCCTTATGAAGTCTTCATCAGTTCCGAATTTTTGTGGTAGGCTTTCATCTTTTAAATTGTTAGCAATAAGTGAAGGTTCTCCTTTGTTACTATAAAAATATTACATTCATTTACTGTTTTCTGTATATTCCTTAATAACCTGAATTTACTTTACACGTGAATATTTTTTGGTCGACAACGTGTTATACGTTTGGCGCATTAGTTTCTTATGTCATCTTTTCTACAAATCTTAAGATCAATCAACCGAAACGAAACAATCCATCGTCTTCCCCGTATACTGAGTCTAGTCCAATAGCTGTCCACAATCCGTCGCCTGCCACTCACCACCGAACAGTTCATGATAAAGAGGTAAGCTTCAATACTTAACTGTACACAACGTAAACACTTTAAAGTTTTTGACTCAAAACCCTGTGTTTTCATGCATAAAATTAGTTTTTCGTACCTGAAGTGCTCACATACATGTTTAATATGAGCCTACATTGTGTTACATATATATATATATATATATATGTTGCTGGATGTTGGTCATTTGTTCACAAACTTTCTTCGTGTACATGCGATCCCCAAACACAGCCACAACCGCTAATTATTGCTTGTGACGAGAATCGCACACCGCCATCATGTTTTTTCCATTCAGCACTTACTAACTTTGCTCTGAGACTGTGAGAAAACGGTAAAGCTGGCTTCCACGGCTTGTCGAGGTAACGAACCGTAGAATAAAGAGGTTTTGGTCCAGAAAAGGGTACCTCACTTATGGCTAATTTCCTTAGATCAGCACTAAGTTGACCGAGGAATCTTAAGCAGGTTATTACCCCTGATATAATTGCAATAATCAAGTGGCTTAGGACACCTTATGTAGAAGTGGTGTGGTAAGTGAGCGCAATCTCCACTGCCAGTACATTAGATCTCGTTGGTATTTTTCCACGACCCAGCGAACTAACGGGGATGCATTTCAAGGTTGCACATCATCATCAAACACTTTAGGTGAAAGGACCGGAGGAAATAACCACTATGCTCTTTATGGATTCTTAAAATCATTGATGTCCCCATTCTAACTAATGTTTTCCCCCCAAGAGAATGAGTAATTTGAAAACCACAGAGGTAGTCGCATGACTTGGTTTTCTTGTGGATGACATAGAGTACTGAGCTCACCATTTTGGTACCTTTAGTGTAATAGCATTTTGCCAAATTTTTCACTGCCCTACTTTGTTCAAAAACAAAGTTATCTGGTGAAAACAACTAATCCTATGCGTCTGCCTGTACACTGTTCATGCTTGCGGGTTGGCTTGTTATAGTGACTGCAAAAATGTCTTTGCTGTCATATGTAAACCTGGCTACAACTACCAAAGTCTTTAAAAGTAGTCCTTTCTCTCTTATTCACATGAGCAATAGGTGAAAACAAGGAAGTACTTTTTCACCCAATTTAAGCACAAATACCCGCATACTTTATTCTAAGACAAACGCATCTACTGAAAATGAGTTTCCTCTTGGTCTAATAATTGATATTTAGAAAATATTTCGTGCATTTACACCCAGATACATACTGCGTAGAATCGATAGTAATTTCTTCTTTTACATATTAATACTGATACATTATTGGCAACTAACTTGTCATCCCTGGAGCAGTAACCTGTGTATTATCTAATGAATACTATACATCGGTCTATATTTGTCGATAAAACACTCTTCAAGGAGATTTTTTTTCGCTTGGCTGATTGTTTTTCGATCTGGCCAAATCAGTTTTAGCCAACCTTAATAGGCGAATTAGTTCAGCCAAAATTATGCTTCAAGTGACGCACATACACAATGGAGTGGAATAAAGTGAAAACCCTTAAAACTTATACAATTCAGTAAAAAGAGAAACTGACAATAAAATACATGTTTATTGCTAAGGGCTTCCAAAAGGAGTGAGTAAGCACTTGTTCTAAACATCTGCAAAATCACATTATCCTGTTAACAGTCAGAAGAATAGAACTGGAATAGTAAATACACAACCTCAGAACCACCCTGATATCACGTCGAGCAAAAAATCGTACCCGCAATAAAAAACGAATATAGAATTATGTTGTGAGTATAATCAGAGAGAATTTTGGCAAGTATTTCTGGCCTTTATAAAATGTTTTAGTCTTACTTAAATAATCCTTATTGTTGACTATTTTAAATTTACATTTAAAAACAACCTGCTGCTAGTGTTTCAACTAAGACTTTAAAAACGTGTCAGTATTCTTTTATCTGTTTGAGGCGGGCCAATACTTCAGTTGGAACTTTTTATTTAAGTGATCTGCTCCTTTCATAAATAAATATTTTACCATATTCTCACTGATATGATGCTGTACTTTACTGCACTTACCTACTAGTACCAATAAGTCGTATCTCAACAAAAATGCATAGCAACCTAAACTACTTTATTCCTATAGAACTAGCCTGAAGAAATCACCCATGAGCTACTAATTGAATTCTTGTGAAAACCTACAAAATGAGAACTAACGCATGCATTATTATCATTTCAATCACTGTACTCATTGGAGTTTGGCAAACTATCCTACTTTTCGAATAAATTAGGCTCTGAACACATTTAGTTATTTTTTTCAACTTGACATTATCATTATGCTAGAATTCACCGAAGGCTAGTCAGCTTGCTCAGTAGGTGCCACAAGAATCAAACAGTGTACACTGTTATATATATATATATATATATATATATATATATATATGAAATTTATTACCTAGATATAGTGTTAATATAAGAGTCAAATTTGAGCTTTGTGGTGGAATAAAATTCCACGTTAATCTGTTTCTTTGATATGACAACCATTGACAAAGTACCATTAGCTAGGTGAAATTCAGATCACAGTTTATCTCTCATAGCCGTATAAGTTATGTTATAGAGCTATATTATAAAGAAACTCAGCTGCAACCATACACTCAAAACCGAAGTTACAAACGCTTATAACTATTCAACGCAACCTTTCTGGTCACACTTTATACTGTGACTGTATGTACAGTAATAATGTAGTGCTCTTCTAGGTGACCTATCACTCTAATTTTCACACACTTCCTGAACTGTCACAATCTGACTGAAACACACTGAAGGGTTTGACACATAATGTTGATCTGATTGGTAGGATCTTCATGCTAATGTTATCAATTACTTTGTTATGTAAACTCACCTAACGCTATGTCATGTCCTTAGAAAATATTTTGTTTCTTCTGTTACATAGTAAATTAATTACAACATGGTGACTGCTGACAAAAAGTTTGTAAATTAACTTTTGCTCATTGTATGCTTTTCGCTTTCCTGTGACACATTTAGAACATGCAACAAGGTGCAAATTCCCACTACCGCCTATCGCTTTTACCTGTGGTTTCTCCATTCTGTTACACATTTATGAGTCTATCTGTCTATATAATCAGTAATGGTTGTCTAATTTGTTGTAATAATCATTAAAACAATTTTTTCGATTTTAGAGAATTATACGGATCCCGTCAAACACTATACAGAACACAGACAACTCGGGAACATTGACACGAAAGTCTCAACAGGTCGAGTACGGTAGTAAATCTCCACCATCTGGCACACCTAATATGTCTCCACACCATACTTTAAGTCCTCAACCTCGCCACTCGAAAAGTCGAACGGCATTCGGTATTGATCCTGCAGTTCCAGATCAGCCTACTCCTCAACTTAAGTCTCGAATGAACAGTTATGAAAACGCCCAAACATCTTCTCCTCCTCGTCGAGATGGTAACCAGGGTACTGATTCAAATAATCAACCATCTCGTGGGGAGAGAAGATCGTCTACACGGAAGAGAAAATCTTTGTCCTCTGAACAAAAACCATCAAGAAATGAAAATAGAGAAACTGATGTTTCTATACATAATGCATATTATGCATTACCACCATCGAATAACCAGTTTCAGAATAATCATCCACGTGGCGAAGATCTCAATGATAACCAAAATGTTATACTCCGCTCGCCTAATATTAATCGTAATGATTTCCGATTGTCGAGTCGAGCAAGAGTTAGTTCGGGTCAACAAAATACATCAGGACAGGTTGTACATGCCACAGCAACTATACCGAGAAGAGAATTGATCAATTATGGTGATGATTTAGGTTCTAGGCCAAGTGGGAAATGCTGTTTAATAATGTGATTCAACTTAATGTTCCAACGACTACAGTCTTCATTCAACATCTGTTCTTGTTGAATTAAATATATAAATATTCAACAACCTTCATTGCCTCTTAAGTAACCCCACGTTTAAACGGCCAAACTCTGTACATATCAGTTCACATTCCCGTCCTCTGCTCCCCTTCCATCTCTTTTCCTTTCTATTTTCCTTATAACTTTTCAGTAGTCTATGAAGATAAAATCCAAAGGCAAAAACAAAAAACAGATTCCCTGATCATTTTGAAGTTTGTTATTCTTAAGGCTCAATTACCATTAAGTGGTGAAACAGTATTTTTGATCAAGTGATTATTTAGTTAAATTCTGTTCATATACTTATTTACATATTCGTTTATTTTCCATAATCTAATGAAAATATTCAGCTTTATTAAATTTAACCAACTGTTTTGCGTGTTTGCATGTATGTGTATGTGTATGGTGTTCAATAACCATCGTGCTTTCCTATGCATCACTTGTCCGGTTATCCAGTGATTGGTTGACCACAATGAATAAATACAGTTAAACTAATCTCCCATTAGCTAATACAGTTTGTTCGTTGTTGTTCTTGCTTTTTGCCCCTAAAGACTTCCTACACTCCTGAATAAAAAATACTCTTCCTTTTTCTACTAATAAATAAATAACAAATTGTTCTGACAACTCTCCGTAATCTATTTACCGGGTCTGCATACGAACTCATGAAGTGTTTAATCATGAACTCTGATAGATATCCGGCTACAATGGGACCTGCAGAATAGGTATTCTACTCTGCTGAATAGTCGTTACTTATCTGTTTGATACTGCAGGTATACGTACCACATTTTATGTAAGTGATCAATGAGGACATTTCTCAGTCATCGACTAAAAACGTATTGTCTTTTTTATACCCAGATGTAAATCACTCACTGAATTGACTTGAAATTATCTATATCAGTGCAAATCAATGATTGCCACTGACTAATTTATCAATGATATCACTTCATTTAGTGAGTAAAGATATAATGTGACAAATTCGAAAGATATGAAGGCCCAGTTTCGAAAATAAATGTTTCTCTGTTCAGTTATTTTTATTTATTTACGTTCTCAGTGGAACATAGAGCTTCCAGCTAGAGCTTTGAAGTTTCAGTAACAACTGTATTGGTTTTTACAGGATGGGGTTGCTAGCCTCATGCCCAGCTTTCCCCCTTTACCAGTCCTATTACTGGTTTAGCAAGATAAAGGGATGCGTCAGTTGAGTAATGAACCCAGAACCAACTGTGTGGTAGGCGAGCATTCTACCGCTGTGCTACCGACGTACTCCGTTCTCTAAGACAATGTTAAACAGATAAACGATAACGAATAAACTTATTTACAAAGCTATTGACAAAAGTTTCTTTCATAAAGTTCGTCTTCTACGGATTCAATAGTATCTCAGGAGAAATAGTGTGATAAATTACAAGACTAGTAGCTTAAGTAAGTCATAATTGTGTTACTACAATCCATAGATTAATGTAAGTGTAGAACTTGGGCACTGTGGTAGAATATATTTCCACATTAGATAAGCTTATTTTTAAATATCCCACAGCGATGCAGTATTAACAACTGGATGACGTTTTGAGCACAATTTATCGCAGATAATCATATCGAGGTGATCCATCGAGTCCATAAATATTAGTTATTGGGATTAATGCAGTGAGATTTATCTTCTATTTATAGAGTTTATGCTGATATTTTCCATCAATAAATAACCTACGCTATACAATTTTCATAAAACTCCATCGACGATTCAGAAGTTAGAGAAAAACCGTCATTCACCCTCTAGTATTTATCAAACATTTGCGTCTATCATTTGTATACTGTTCATCACAAACTTCAAGAACAAATGGCATATCCTATGTCACTGCAACAAATTTTTTGCGCTCTGTGTCCAGCTGAAAAAATTCATAACTTTCGCTATTCTTTGAACTCCTTCTCATCATTTCTCCCTGTATGTGTATTATGTTTAATCATCAAGCTAATATTATAGTCCATTTCTTCCTTCAGATTACTTCCAGTCACTGAAAATTAATTCTGATTCCACCACTATGACTTGATAACTATACAGTAAACTTGACAAATTGTATTCGGTTAGTGCTAAGAAATAAAAAAATGTTACATCTGTTTAATCCTAGTAACTAGTCAGTTTATTCAACACACTCTTACATCATGAATATCTTAGTAACACCATCTCTGAGTGCATAGGTGGGTGACATAGACTTGTGTCTCTGAGGGTGGCAGGTCCGTTGAAAATGAAGATATATAATCAATAAATACAAATACCCACATTCAGGACTTCTTGTGCATTAACTTTGGTCATCCTTTGCCAAACTGCTTCTATTTTACCCTTATGTATTCATTTTTCTGCTTACAATGGTAGTGTATTAAAATTTCAGAGAAATGACTAACAGTAATGGGTTAGCTACAGGCTAAAATAGCTTCACCATTTACAACTTTAATAGTATGATGTTCTATGCTTCTTACAATGTAGTTTTATGGATTTAGTATCTTCTGTAACAACAGATCACAAAAGACCCATTCACGTATATAACCTATAACTTCCGTATTTAAGGTACTTATAGGACTCAATGTGGGTAAACAAGAAGTTGAGCTGAATAGACCATCCGACTTTTCTGACTTGGTTAACCAATTCAGGTAAATAAAGTAGTTAGTTAGAAAGGAATAAAACAATTCCAACAGTGGTGTGAACACGAGCAGTAATTTTGCTCGAAATATTACCAATAACAAAACTTATCATTGTGTGTAAACTATTGAAATATAATTATACTTTATTTAAAGTAGTTAGTGTTTACTGCAACAGTACTAGTTGCGTTTCGAATATACAATAATTGCTAAATGAAGGTGAAACCAAAATGAATCTCCCATAGGATTCAAATCACTGGCCTACAAATCACTAAGCAGACCAAGCAAACAACTGCTGAGCTCACTTACTACATTATTATTATCAGTTTGCAAATCTAAGACTATCTCAAACAGTCTTACCTACAAAACAGAATGTGTCGAAATCTCTGTGATTTCATCTATAGATGTCTTATGATCACTATCCACACAAAGAGTTGGATATTACAAGTTCTATGTTGAAATCTTTTTTTAGCTATTAGTATTCAGCTGTTTAAATTAAATAATTTTATTTAGTATAAAGGAGAATTACTTTGTTATTTTAATACATAGTTTGTTACGAAATTAGACGGTTGACATAGATTTATTGCACAACATATGTCTGCTTACTTAGAAAGAGAAAAAGATACAGACTTTCTAGTCACAGAATACATAATTAATAAATGCTTTTTTTTACTGACAGGAGTGATTTATCATACTACTTTGTTTAGAATGCAACAATTTCAGGAAGTGGTACACACTAACAATCATTAATACTAAGCAGTAGTAGAAAGAATTGTTAGGTATAACTATATTAATCACCATTTGAGCTGTCACAACCACTTGGTTCTTTTACGCCTTCTGATCACATTTTACATAAAACTCTTAAATTAAGAGTAAATTGTTTAACTTGTTTAAGTAATAAAAAATTGAAGAAGAAGAAGATCATGCTAGCTTCAAGGTTATATAGCCCTAATGAACTACTGTCTTCAGAATAATTCCCTTTCACTGAGTTGAAAGTAAATGATTAGTGAGAAGTAACGAAGTTCAATATAATATAGCAAAATTAAAACTGGAATAAGAATAGTAGTCACTGATTAAGTTTATGTTCAAGAAAGGAGACAAATACCCTTTTCTAGGAATAGGTCAGAATAAAGACATTATCTAGACATCTATTCCAGAAGCTTATGCGTCAATAGGACACTATTATTTAAGTCTGTTAAAACAAATAGCAGTAAATCACACGTTTTTGTAGGTTGCAGGTGATACCGATCGCAGATAAGTAGCCTAGTGCACAGCTCCTTGATATTTGAAAACCTGGGTTCTGAGTTCATGCCACGATGAAAACACAATCAGTTACTGAGATGTATGTAAGTTAGCCGACAAATCTCACATAAGGGGAAACGTACTGCCTGGATTCCACTGCTAGCCATCATCCATGAAGTAAATGAGAAAACAGATTAAACAACTCAGAAGATTGTGATCGTAATGCAGAAATGTCTCTTCTCTACGATACCACAAAAAATCAAGTCCCTACGTTTTTGTCACATTTACATAAGGGAGCAAAACAATGAAGTTACCTAAGGTTATAATGACAAAAATTCACATCTCAACCCATACTAATAGAGTCTTTACTTAAACAACAAATATGGAAGCTCCATAAGCTAGTTACTGCAGGAGAAAGTGGAGATGGATTGGACACCGGCTGGGTGGCATCCCGCGTCAGGCCATTGGTCGAGTGGAACCCGAAAGGAAAGCGGCGTGTGGGATGTTCAAGGGTGACATGGAGGAGATCGTGTGAAGAGGAGCTGAAACAGTATGGACTAACATGGATGCAGGCGAAAGGTACAGCAGAAGACAGAAGCAAGTGGAGACGTGCAGTTGAAGCCCTATGTTCCACCAGGAACCCAAAGGAACAATAATAATAAGCTAGTTACACATTTTGGCCAAAAACCGAGTATAACATGCCAGAAAGAAATAAAGCCTTTTAGACGAGTCTAATGAAGATGGAAATTAACTTTGGTGATAGTTAACCAACAACCTTATAAACCATTGTGATGATACCAGCTGAGTGAATTTTATCATTTTTACGCAAACATGAAAAAATATTCAAATAACTCAAACGAAGGCTTCTCTTTTAACCACGTTAAAAGTCGGCAAAATCAGAAAAGAAGTCTAATTTTAGTGTATCATCGAGTAAGCATTTGATTTTAAGCTTATTTCTAATTAGGGTTTTACGTAATTTAAGAGAATAAAAAACAGTTTACGCAACTTAGGAGTAACAAACACATACTAGGTACCTATCCGGGAAAAATTCAACACAAATTAAGCCAGTGAAGGATGACAATGGAAAGTTAATCACCAAAAAGGTGGAGTAAAGGAAACACTAGGTTGAACCCTTCAAAAGAATTCTAGGCCGACCGTCACCTACAACTAGCACAATAAAACCAACAGCGGAAGCAGAACTACCAGTGAACATCAACGTCCCGACGACAACAGAAGTCCTGAAGGCAATGAAGATGTTAAAAACTGGAAAAGCAACAGGACCAGACGGAATCCACACAGAAGCATCGAAAATTGACCCAGAGACAACAGCGGACCTGATGACACCACTACTGGAGAAGGTGTGGAAAGAGGACAAGGTACCTGCGGATTGAATGAAAGGCTACTTATTCAAACTGCCAAAGAAATGAGACTTAAGTCAATGCAAAAACTGGCGAGGCATTATGCTCCTGTCCATCCCAAGCAAAATACTAAGCCGCATCATCCTAGAGAGAATCAAACAAGCCAACCTGGATGAAAAACTTCGACCGGAACAAGCTGGATTCAGAAGAAACAATATCATGCATCGATCAAATAGCAACACTACGGACCATCATTGAAAAGAGCTTGGAATGGCAGCCAGCTCTCTATCTCAAATTCATTGACTTTTAAATGGACTTCGACAGCGTCGATCGAGCGGTGATTTGGAAACTACTTCTCTACTACGAGGTGCCACAAACAACAGTTGTACGACAATGCAGGATGCCGAGTAATCCACAACGCAAAACTCACAGATTCCTCCGAAGTAAAGACGGAAGTGAGACAAGGCTGGCTGCCTACTGTCGCCAGTGATTGCGATAGACTGGATAACGCGACAGACGACGGGTAATGAGGAAACAGGCATAAAATGGACTCATACAAAAAACCTGGAGGATCTGGACTTCGCCGATGATATATGTCTGATTTCCCACAAACTGGAAGATATGCAAGTGAAAAGCAACAAGCTGGCAGAAGATGCATTCAGAGAAGATAGGACTTCAAGTGAACATAGATAAAACAGAGGTGATGAAGATTCCTGGCCAACACCACCACCAACAACAACAACAGATAAGAATCAGCATAGATGTGAGAAGTCTGAAAGAAACAACATCACTTACCTACCG